TATTATTATTATTATTATTATTATTATTATATGTATTCTTTAATTTAACTATTTTTTTCTTCTCATTTTTTCTTTCTCCACTAATTCACTACACTTTAAAAGATTCATTGTTACATTACACTGTTAGAATGGGGTATTATCTATGATGCTTCTTAGGAATACAATGTTTGACTATTAAACTGTATCAGTTAGTTGTATAAGACTTCTTTTGTGAACATAGAGGGGTTAACCTCTTGAAGAACTGTAAGAGAAAATGACATGATAAATAAGTATTTTTAAAATTAACATTTAGGAGTTTTACTTCTTAAGAAATCTACCAGTGGGTCAGCAGTAAGTTTATGGACTTAAAACTTTAAAATCCAGAGTTTAGTACCCTACGGTAGACAGATTGCAGATAGCCCATTGTGTAGCTTTGAGATAGAATAACAACAACTTTTTGCAAAATATACAATAAAATATAGGAAGCTAAGAATAGCATAAAAAGAAATTCATAATAATTGTTAAAATGCTACTATGAAACTCTTTCAAAGTAGACTACCTGGTGGTCTTTTTACACTAAGTTCTAAACTGCATAAGTTTTGATTAGAAGAACGCTTTCTTTTAATGTAGGTAACATAGAACTTACCTTGCTGCTTTTTTGGAACAATGCCAGTTCTTGTAATATTAAGTTGAGGAGTCCCTAAAGCCTCTGTATTATTCACTGCTATGGCTATTACATAGGACATCTGTTAAAATAAACATATTCATTATGTTTCGAGTATATTTAGACATGTAAAAAAATATCTTAGGCCCAAGTTAGGATTTCCTAGCTAATAATTAAACTTTTTATATTGAGAAATCAAATCAATGGTCATCTTCAAGTATACTTCTGACCACTCATAAATATTTAAGTGTCACTTCCACACACACACACACAGATATATACAGAACTTGTATTTATTGGTATTTTATAATCAGTTAATCTACAAGCTTATTAATTTATTAGTATCAGCTTCCTACAACCCCCCCCCCCCCCACCTCCCATACAAGCAATAAAAAAAAAAGGTGTGCATTAGCTTCATAACTTTTTCATTCACTGCATTATTCTAACAGGGTATTAATTTTCCTATTTTCATTCACACTGGTTTGGTTTTTTAAAGTAATTTTCACATTACCCTTTGTTTCATATGGCCTCTTATGGAGATTACCATGTGCAAGTTCTGTGAATCATATTTTTTGTTTAAAAAGGAATTTTGCTATCACTTTTTTTAAAGCTAATTTTGACATTACTTATATGGCACGTTAATTGTTAATGTCAATTAAACACTATCAGTAGGTCACCATTAAGTTTGTTTTTAAAATATTCAATAATTCCACAATGACCTTCAGTAAATGAAACTGATAATTAAGTAGTCAATTAGCCATTTAGTTATGTTTGAATAGGACAAACATAAAGATAATATTTAATAAAGATTTAAGTTCAGAATATTTTGCAATCACCTACTATACTCACTAAATGGTAAACTTAACTACACTTAACAGATTTCATGATGATTTTATTTGGTAAAAATAAAAAAAATAAAAACATAATAAAAGTTACCAAAGCAATATCTAATTAACACTCATATTGTTGCATTAGCTTAAAAGTAATCAGTTACTGTCTGGGATTCCTGTCATTGACATTGCTCACCCTTTCAAGCCATGGGATCATTATAATGTGACAGTTTATCTCACTTTTCATTGGTAAAAGAGTAGCCCAGGAATTGGCAGTGGATGGTGCTGACTAGTTACATTCCCTTTAGTCAATCAATTCCATAGCCAGGGATGGCTAGAGCAGACAACCTAGTAACTTTGCATGAAATTCCAAAAATGGGCAAATGAAAACAAACTGAGGCCTTAAATGGACTACTGTATATTCCAGCTGTTGATTTCAGAAAATCTCAAAAAAAGTTTTATGGTGATTAATAACCCAATCATATTAAAACACCGAAATCTAAAGTTTCTTTTTTGGTACTACACGGTAGCATAAGAATGTTTGATTTCAGAAAACCTCAAAAAAGCTTTTACAGTAATTAATAGCCCAATCATATCAAAATACTGAAATCTAATGTTTGTTTTTGGTACTATATGATAATGTAAGGACATCTGGCTGTTTTCTTATATTAATTTTTGAAAAAAAATGGAGGGATTTTGACTCCTCTAGATCTGCACCTACCTTTACAACATCAAATAATAGTTATTAATTTCTAAAGAAGAAGAAGAACAAAAAACAAACAACAAACACACAAGTAAAATAAATGGTATCTATAGTGAGTTACTAAGTTTCCAACTTGCGTACACAAATGTTAAAATATGGAATTGTACACAAGCACACGCACACACACACACACCCAGGTATATGTTTATAAGAAAAAATTAATTTGGCCTTGAGCTTATGAAATAAAGTAAAAATAACTGAGAACAAAGGAATATTTGAAAATATTTCACTGCTAATTACTAGTCAAGGTTTGAATTAATCTAATCCCAAGTTAATCCCCAAGTATAATTTAACTTCCTCTACATTACCACAGCAGTGAAACACTAATAAAAATCAAATATTTATCCAAAATGATTCTTTTTTGTTAACCAACATACAACTTCTCTTTCCCTAGAAACAAAAAACTAGGGCTTAGTTCTTTCTTTATGGTTATAGTGTTTTTGATTCTGGGGAAAGAGAAGTTGTATGTTGGTTCCAAGAACAAAATGCATTTTTTATGATATCACGTTTTCCGATTGACTAGGTGGTAATAACAATCATGGAAACTATCTTGCTAGAGGAGAAATTTAAAAGGGCATCACTCCTGACTTACTTGTCTTAAAAAATCAAATTAATAACTTTTTTTGTAAACATTAACTTTACAAGTTAAATGTCCGGCTTATTGGCTAATGTACTCTTATACTAAAGAACTTTTCCAAATTTTTGTTTAACCGAAATATGTTTTTTTAAAATTACAAAATATACTGGTAGTATATTTGGTTCTGAAAAATATTCAGATTGCTTATTTTGTTCTTGATTTTCACAAAATTCCTTATGGACTTGTGTAATTTTATGTTAACAAAAGTTAAGTTGCACAAAATCCTTACACAGTTTTACGAGAAATAAGAAATACACGTACATTACGTGTTATATTTGAAAACCTGCAACAAAATAATAAAATAGCTGACTTTATTACTAAGAAATCTACTGAAACTTGTGTTTCAGTTCCACACAGTTTTTTAGTAACAGCAGTATTTCCTAATCTTATTACCACCTGTACAAAACCACTGTAAGAGCAAGAAGTACAACAAACTGAACTTGGCATTATGGGGTCACATTGTTGCCTCAACTCAACCATAAGAACAAGGCAATACCTGTAACCAGTATTAAGAGCAGAAACCTTATCTAACCCAACTGTACATGGAGGGAATAAACATCCAGCATCCGGAATTACGAGGGGGATCTACTGCACACAACCATAGAACAAAGCAGTGTCATCACAAACCTGGTATTATAAGGAGGGTCCCATGTAGGCTGGTCCTGCTCCAACCAAAAACTGTCCACCTGGGAATAAGCATCCAGGGGAAATGGAAGGAGGAAAACCAGCTTTGCGCTCTTCTCACTGAGTGGATATATGGAAAGTTAAAAGTCTACAACACACTCGAGAGGAAGCCTCCATAGTCCATTTCCCAAGTGACTGGGAACTGGTAAGGACTTCCTTGCTCCACTCAGATAAAAGAGGGGGGGATTAGTGCAGTGGAGAGTCTGGAGAAGGCGCTATGGGTGTCCATGATTCCCCACTTTGAAAAGCTGACCATCCCCAATTTATTCAATCAAGGTGTCAGCACGGATGGGCAGAAATCCCCTTCTGCTTTACTCATGAAAGTCCATGAGTGATGGTCCACAACTAATGGATAGTGAGAAACATATGTATATATCTCTGGGCAAGCCACCAGTGATCTTGTGGAACACCCCATCTCTAAAGTGCTACCAGTAAATAGTATGGGTTTAAAGCAAATCATATCTGACTAAGAAACACCTGCCATAAAGTGGGATCTAATTAGCAGTAGTAAAAAAAAGGAAGGTCTCTAAAAAGAAAACAAAAATGAAATGATGTGATCAGACTTACCCCAGTCAAAGGTGAATGGACATGTATAGAATTGCCACAGGAGGGAGATGATATACACCTGAGGAAGATACAGCCAGATTGTGTAGATAATGAGTGACAAAGGTATTGGGACTAGTCCATATTCCAGCCTGAATGACCTCCTCCAAAGGACGGTGAAGGCAAGAAACCAAATACATGGTGATATAACAAATTTGATGGGAAGAAACGCTGCAGAGACATCAATCTTCCATGGGTGAGTCAGAATACATCAGTCTAACAAGTTGACGGACCCAACTAGTTAGTGTGATTGGGGATAAATCATGGGAAACAGATGGATTCCAGAGAAGAAATAGTTGAGAACGTGAACCCTGAAAGGAGGCAGTATGTGTCATATAAGGGGCAAACCAGGCAAAGAAGTCAATCTGGATCAGTATGGGAGTATGGGTGGGAGATGGAAAATAAGAAAATGGGTGTGAAAGCCAGACAGCCTTCACGGACAGTATAGGTCTTAGGTAGGAATGACCGGTCTGGATATAAGATGACATAAATGGAATGGTAGAGGATTCAGGTAACATTAACAGCATAAATATCTGACAACATCCTCAAGGGGGGAGGAGAAGGAAACAGGTCTTGAGGGAGAGATGGTATATGGAAACATGTAAACAAAGGCTCAAACGGAGGATAGGAAAGGGCATAAGGACCACACTGAAATCCCAGTTAGGACGCATGACCCAAAAGGAGCAAAAATGGAGAGAAATGACAGAAGAAGACAAAACTGTATGTAACTTGGAAAAAAGGAAGGTGGTTGAAAAGGCTGCCTAATAGCTAGACACAGTAGAAGTAGAAAAGCCTTTGTCAAAGAAACAGATGAAGAATTGGGAAAGAAGAATGGAAATCATACTGAAGAAACCAAAGGTGGAATGTAGACCACTGCCTCTGGTAAATGGACATGAAAGAAGGTCATATGGATCTCAAATGGAAAGATGCAACAAGTGGAGTCAGTCCCTGAGCTGAGGCAATGGACCTGACAAAAATCCACGCCTGAAGACAGAGGGTGGTGACATCTGACTGACGTTGATGGAGCAGAGACAGAGGTAAGGGTATGGGAGGTTGTACAAGTAAAGGTTGGAGCAGCAGGTACCATGGTTGCACCAACCAAAACAGAACTACCAGGAGAACTAGACACAGAGTCATTTGGATTAGGGATATAACCCAGGAGAGGAGGCAAATAGGAGGGTAAGTACAGATGTGATGACCCCTCCAATCTTGACTGAATGCATCCACTTCTAGAGCTAGCTGGTGTAGAATGGGAGACCAAAAGAAAGAAAGTTTGTTGTTCCGGTGGGTGGCAAAAGCATCAATATGAGCACTCCCACCAAAAAACCTGTGAATCAAGAGACCACTCCATGGGGAGAATCTTGTTGGGTCGAGATAAATGATCCACAACCAGATTCAGTGTGCCAGAAACATGGCAAGCCAAGACCACCATGTGGTGACTGTGGGTCCAGAAAAGGAGATCCAGAGACTGAAAGCACAGATACCTAGATTTGGTGCCTCCTTGCTCAGTGATATGTGAACACTATGGAAATGTCAGAGTGTACCATAACCACCCTCCCCCAGAGGAAAGGAAGTAGGACAAAGCTCAATGAACTGCCATAAGTTTGAGAATGTTGATATAGATAGAAGACTCCTCCACTGACCAGAGACCAGAAATCTCCAGAGAGTTGAGGTAAGCACCCCAACCCCCTAAAGATGCATCTGTGAACATACACAAATTCAGATGAGGTGGAGGAAGTGGAACACCCACCATGGTCTGGTCCAGGTGTCCATCACATCACATTTGGTCACTTAGAGTCCCGGGAAAAACACCCATCGAAATGAGGGACAGGACTTCATAGTGAAGCAAGGGGTCAAGAAAGGAATTCAAATGGGAAAGATCAATGATGAGTCTCCGACCTTCCATCTTATTGGGGACCATGAAGAGATGGGAATAAAACTGCCAGTTATATAGGGCACACCTGTTCATTAAAATCTTTTCAAAGCAGGTCGTGGACAGCCTTGGTAGGATGACCAAGAACTGTAGGATCACACTGAGTTGGGAAGGAAATGGGGAATGGAAAAGGGGAGGTGGGGATTGGAACTGAAGGTAGAGACCTCCTGACAGAACCTGTAGAACCCACGGATATTTTGGGAGAAAAGTAGAGCAATCTGGCTCCCACCAGTCTGTAAATCTCTTTAGTATCACCTATAATGCTGGCATCAGCCATTCAGAGTGTGGGAATAACGAGGATAGAGTCTGAAACACCGGGAGGAAGGCAAGGGCCTGGGCAAAGAAGAAGGAGGATGGATGACTCATGACATAAATGTGTGTCCAGCAAAGACAAGGAAGCATGCAATCTATTCACATCAATCCTGAATTCCATGGATCAGGACAACCCTCAAATATGGTGTTGCACAGGAAGGGGACCTGACGCAGATCCTGCAGGGATGAACAGTGAAGACGCAACCTACAAGTAATGCATCTCTCCCCAACAAGTCACAACAACATATGAGCTAGGTATTAAGGGAAATGGTAGATGCCGATAAATGAGCCATAGTGGACAAAAGGTGGTATCTGAGCTCATCTGAAAAAACTTCAGAGTAGCAGCAAAAGGGCCTCTGACAATAATGAACAGTTGCTTCTGGAATTGAGCCCCAAAAGGGAAGCAGAGGATCCAATTGTTGAGAATCCAAATATGGATCTGAAGAGTGATGGAACACCAAAGCATGTTAGTCTGACAAGTAAGGGGAATGGGACATGCCAACACCCGACTGAAGTTGGTCCAAAAATCTTTGAGCACGAACCCTAATGTTGAGTGAAGGGGAAAAACATAAAATTATGAAGAAGAAATTTCACCCAATAAGGAAGGGAAGGCATCACAGGCAATATGGGAAACGTGTAAAACACCACATACCTAATTAACAGGCTGTAAAAAAGGGGTAAAAGGTGAAATTTCTTGAAGAGGTGTAGATTGTGACTGACCAAAATAAGCAGGTTCCAGAAAAAGAGTCGAAATTGTCTTGTACTTGATCGTATTCTTCCTCAGAAATATTATCAGGTTGAAAAGGAGAAGAAATCGCCAGCTGAACATATGAATTCAACTCTCTGCGATTTAAGGCCTGTAGCTCCTCTGCTGGTAAAATTGAACCAGAGTCCTGGAAAGGCATACCGGTAATGTTGTCAACTGTAACAGGATCTTCTGTATTCAATACATTGATCTTTGAATTCATATTAAGTTCACTTAGAATTCAGGAACAAAACTAGCAAATGCAATAAAAAAAATTTAAAAAAACTGAATGCAAACAGAGAAATTGAAAAGTGTTGAACAAACAAAATTTTTTAAAATGGCAAAGAAACTCAATCAGAAACAGCAGCCACACACAAAAAAAACATATCTAAACAATGTAATGCCAACTGAGAAAGTGAGGACTGAACTGGAATAGCAGAGGGAGCTAGCTGCACCAATATAGGTAGTGCAAGACTATAGGTGGAGAGAAGTCACATGCTATGTACATGTTCAATAGTGGCACAAAATGGTGAGGTATATAGACTGGTACACTAAGCATGAAATTTTTTTTTAGTGAAAGAAGGTAAGAACGTACCAGAATTATTTCTATTTGCAGACTAGAAGGTCTATCCAATGCTTGTTTTTAACTTTCAAGTTATTAGTGTGATAAACACAATGATCTCCATCAGTTGCTATTATACTGATTGTGTAGCTTTGTTCTAAATTATTTTATATGAAAGACAATGACTTTCAAGCAATGAACGAAAAAAAGTTTAGTTCCTCAGAAAATAAAAAAAAGTTATAACATGTCTTTAGTAGGTGAACTTGTTTTCCTTTGAAGGAATAAGCATAAAAGTATTTGGATCAAGTTTACTCAGTAATGGTTAAAGGTCTAATACATTATATCTTGGAAGTCTTATATCCAGACTCGGCTAAGAATACTGAACAGTTTTGAACTTTTATGTACATAAAATGAGTGAGTGAATAAGCTATCCAACAGTAAGTTTTAAATCATTTTTTTTTTCAGACTTGTTATTTTGATTAACTACTAAAACTGGAGCTTTGACAAGTGACTTTGAATAAACCATCACCATATCCACATCAAAATAAAAGGACACCAAAGTAGCAATATACATTATGTTAAAGAGGGTATCTAAAATAATGTTCAATAACTGAGATAACCATCAGAACACAGACATCAAAAACAAATAGATCAACAGGGAAAGTAACAAACAACAATTATTAAAGAAACAAATACTACAACAGCACCTAAATTAGGTCCTGCTGAAGCATTATAGCTACTCCTTAATACTTCCTACATTCATTTAAATGAAACATCTTACTGAATATTATTTGAATGAAAACCCAAAAACAGAAAATGTTAAGCTTCTTTGTGGTCATTTTTAGCAGTTTTTTCACCTTTTCAACTCTTTGGTTACCACCATGGGTACAGTTTGGTTAAACATCTTATAATAATTAATTAAAAACTAATAATTAGGCTAACTTTTTTCTGCATATCAAATATATTTTACTTTAAAGACCCAATAAAGGCATATATATAAATCACGTAGGTCATATACATCTGTCTGATATCTTTGTAATAATAGGATTAAAATAATTCATTATACCATAAAAGATTAATGCTACCATTGTTATTCAGCTCCAAAATTGAAGCCAAAAATTTGTGATGTAAAACTAGAGAAATGTAGATAAAATTTCCATATGTAAAACCACCAGCTGCTAAAACATTAATACTAAACAATAATTACTAATATTAATAAAACAATGTATAGTATAATTTCTGACAAGGTTGACGTGTTTAAATGACTACACTTATGGGTATATTGTTATAGTAATTGCACTATCTGTTGGCTATAATGACATGATTCTGTTCAGCATTTTATGACCACTATGAAAATTAAACATCTACATAGAGTTTAAAAGTAAAAACACTTTGATGGAAATGAGTATTGGACAGGTGATTGGTAACCTTGACATGTGAATCTGAAACACCTGTTGAGTTTGTATAGTTTGAATGCTTAAGAATACCAACAAGGGGTATTTACTTGACTTAAAAAAAGGTGTCACTGTATAACAGCTGAGCTGCCAACAGCTTAATAGTCTAGAATTAAAAATTGAAATTTGATTAATGTTAAACTTATCATAGGCCAGTACTAACATTAATTCAATCTTACATGAAAGTATTCATTTAAAATATAATTCTACATTACTTGCCTAAACATTATCCATCACTTTCTTTTAATTTCATGTAAGGTTTAAAAATAGCATAATGAAGTTTGACAACAGAATGTTTCCCTACCTGGCTGTTACTGAGGCTCTGCCATGTAAAATGCAACTCAGATATGTTGGCTTGTACAACTACTTCAAACTTTAAAGCATAGTCATTAACCTTTCCTTTTCTCACATAATACAGTTCAGAGTTCAGTCCTACAACAATAAAAAAGACAATATAAATTTTTTAGGCACACATAACAATAATATATGATGCTTTCAAACATGTAGCAATTTCACTTTCTGTGAGGTGACTTTTTTGATGAAGAAAAAAACAAATATTACCAGTCCTATTTGTCTCTAAGTGTTTGGTCAAGAATAGAAATCTCCTTTAAAAAGGTAGTTTTGCAAAATTATGAAACAAAATCTAAGAAATATTGTTAAAATTTTATGATTTTTAGAATTTTTGGCCATGTTATTTTTTATTTATATTTTATGTTTTACACTAAGTTTTATATATACAAGTAAAAAATTAAAAAACATGAGTACATTACACAAGTATGCAAAAACAGCCTCAGTATATTATTTAAATATGTACATGTATATAAAATTACACTTTTTTACATAACATCTATAATATATGCAGTACCTTTTCGCTGAGTATTGCAGCAACTGGTGGTGTTTGGAATCTTTTTATGCTTTAAATCAGTTAAACTTTCTAGTTTTCAGTACCTTGCAATGACTTTCTATTAACATTTTTCACAAGGACCCTAATGCAATTTTTATTGCAACTATATTTCCTATAATATGCACTTGTCTGTACTCAAAGGGCTAATCTTTATCAGACAATGTATGAAGAAGAAAATATAAAAGAAAATATTTTACATTGCCACACTGGACACTAAACAAATTTCACTGATTAATTTTACAGCTTCATTGATTGAAAATGAAAAACTACTCATAATAATAATAATAAATAAAACCACAAAATCGCATACTTCATTACACTTCATCTATGAAAAGTACTCTTTTTCACTGTATTTAAATTTACAGACACTACAATACTTGTAAATGAATATAACAATTATTAAAAAACAGGAGAGCATTAGGTGAGTTATATTGATGTTTGTCTCATCAGGAAGCGAGAAGGAAATTACTTTTATGTTTATGATGCCAGAAGAAGGTTCACTTCTCACTTGAATGAGTGAAATTATGTTTATGAAGCTAACCATTTCTCTGTTATCTTCAGGGATCAATAATAACAATATTATTCAGAAATTTGTCACTCAGAAAGACAAAGTGACTGACAACTAACCTGTAAAAGTAATTTTTTTTACTTTCTCATATATAAAAATAAATGAATAATATATATACATACATACATGCACACACACACTTGGAAATTGAAAAGTCGTATTCATACAATAAAGACAGCTACAGAAAAATGTCAGTGACAAGAGTGTCATGAAACACACAATCACTAAAAATAAAATGTACTTTTACGAAGTCGCACAGATAGACACACGATCGTTGGGCAGTCATAGTCAGTGAGATAATGCTAGGTCGCTTGCAACACAGATGTATACAGTTAATATGGTAACAATAACAGTTCCAGTCATGTCGGAAAACAAGTTTATGCACGGCCGCTTCTGGTGCAAGTTGCAGGACAGATGAAAGTGTGCTCCAACAGCATCAGAAGTTATCTTTATAGCATGGGATACAATGGCAGAGTAGCTACCATGCCCGTTTGAGGCACTAAATTTTTCTTAAAAAGTCCAGATTAGCACAAATTTCGGATAGAGAAGACACCTGGGTTTGACGAATATAATATCGGAAACGTTTTGGACCGACTGTGGTCTTTCTTTTATGGTGCGAGGTGCTATTTGGACAATCACAGCTGGTGGTATGCTATGGGACAGTCACTGCTGCTCGATAAGTTCACGTCGAGTAAGGCTTACTACCTATTTACGTCAGTAATCAGTTTACTACGCAAGGTCGTGTTTTTCGAGCAAACTAGGGTTCACTGACCCCGAGATACACATGATTGGTCTGAAGGTGAAGAAGCATTACCACTTTTTCCTGGACAGGAAATCACCGGATAAAAACCCTATGTTTGGTCCATCCTTAATCGTTTCCTGCGAAAGTGTCCCAAAGAACCAACTTCTTCTCTAAAAGTGGGAAGTAATCACATTGGCCCAGATTTGAGATCTCGTAAATACTACCTGTAACCGTATTTCTGTCTTAAATATTACAAGGAATAGATCTATTAAATACTGATGGTAATCTTTTATTATTTGTTTCATATTTATTTTTAATTAAAACGGCACACTTTCTGGAGTGAATGTCTACTTAATGGTAGACTATGTATAGTTTCTAAAAATAACCTTTTCATTGTTTCTTAATCTAAACCTTCTATACAAAGGCAGACCGAAAACAACGACACCAACAAACAAGACCAGGCTTCTAAGTGGTGATCAATTTGTTCTTGTCCATGATGAATAGTCCAATTCCCCGGAACCGATATAACTCATTGAGAATGTGAATTGAATGATACTCTGACCTTCACGTATCTATTTCGCGAAACTTAGAATTCTGTTGTTGAGAAAAAAAAAGGAAAAACTCCATTTCCCCTCTTTATTTTCCTCCTTCATCACGACTCTTTCTTAATCCCGATCACTATAAAACACTCACTACCGTTGATTAACTTCAGCAAGACTCTAGCCTTACCCAATCACTATAATATAAAACACTCACTACCTTATTAACTACAGCACGACTCTATCCTCACCCAATCACTATAATATAAAACACTCACTTCCTTTGATTAACTTCAGCAAGAATCTATCCTCCCCTGATCACTATAATATAAAACACTGTCTATATTTGATTAACTTCAGCATGTCTCTTTCTCTTAATCCTGATTACTTTAAAACACTCACTACCTTTAACTTCAGCATGACTCTCTCTTCTCCCGATCACAATAATATAAACACTGGCTACATCTTATTAGCTTTAGTATCACTCCTCTTCTGATCACTGTGTAGTTGAAGTTTCAATTTTGTTGTTTCGTATCAATAATATACTAACAGCGCCTGATTATAAAACGTGATATCTTTGCTTTTCTATTGTCGGATTTGGAACACGAGAACGACCAATCTTTAATACAGGGGCAACACCTACTAAGCCCTCCTTCCCGCCAAAAAATCGAAAGGCTGACGATTTACCCAACTTGAATGAAGTTTCTCGTCTAAGATATATAACTCACCAAAAACAAATAAATATTCTATGGTGACTTTAATAGTTCCAGATAGAGAGATGAACATACAAAATGAAGGTAAAAACAAACGATCATGTAATTTGGTCATTAAGTTGCTTATTTACACAATAATTTCGTTTCTTACTGATTTCTACTGTATCTTGTTCGTTCACCGAAACAAAACCAAGATCCATCGTAGTTTGTGCCTAAAAAGCTACTTCCAGCTCCAGTCCTCCCTCCAGTTGCTTATGTGCATTTTATATTTTTGGAATACGGAAATAAAATAATAACTATACAAGTAAAATAATTTTCAGTTTTTGTATATGAAGTATATATATATATATATATATATAT